AGAGCCCCACGGTAGTTAGAAAGAGACATAGTGTGGATCCCAGAGAAGTGGACTTGGGTCCTGCCAACTCTTGTCCTCTTCCTCCTCCTCATCCTCTCACTTTTGTGGTGTAGGACCACACACTTAAGCGAGAAACCCTGAGAAGAGGGATCCATCAGCCAAAACCACCAACTGGCCCCACATCAGAATTCAGCCCCAGTCTCCCCGTAACTCACAGGAGCAGCACCCATCGGTACCCCAACCCCAGTGCCCCAACCCATAAATATTCTCTCTCTCCTTGTCAAGATGACATTCAAAAACCAGTCTCCAAAATGACTCCTTTGCTAAAACTGTTTTCACACCCATCGAGGTTTCCCTTTGAGGTGCTGAAACCCCAGTTGGGGAAGTAGGCACCATAAATAATGCATCAGGTTTCACCGAGAACTGGTAAAGCAAGCTGCAGCTCCAAAGCGTCCACCATCGCCCACGGCTCCTAATTGGGCATTGTGATTAATCCATTTATTTGCTATTCAGACGAACACCCCATAGGAAGAGTCAGTCATTACCAACTATTAAGTAGGAACACGGGTAACCAAAATGTACCCTGGCTCGGAGCTTTGCAGCGCCTTAATTCCCAGAATCTCCTCTCATTTTGTGTTTTCCAAGTCCACAAGAACCTAAGCACAAAAGTGGGAGATAGGAGGCCCAGTTTGCAGAAAGTGATTAAGACCCAGAAGGCTCACGAATTTGTTCATAATCCTATGAATCAGTCAACATTTGTCAACGATTTTAATTTACTCTGCGTCAGGCCCAGTGTCAGAACAGGGTAGACCTGCTCCCCACACCCCGAAAGTTCTTTTTCCAACTGGAAGTGATGTCACCCAGTCATGTCCGACTCTTTGCGACCCCATGGACTGTAGCCTACCACGCTCCTCCGTCCGTGGGATTTTTCCAGGCAAGAGTACTGGAGTGGGTTGCCATTTCCTTCTCCAATCCAACTGGAGAAACAAATATATAAAAATGCAATTATCTTGTAACAGGGAAAGTGAGAGATAGGTATTAGGAGCACAGAAGAAGGAGAGGAACACTCCATCTCCATAGGGATGCAGGATACATGGAAGAGCTATTTAAATCCATTTAAATGGAAGGCTGCACAGAGGAAGTGACCTTTGTATTGAGTCCTGCAGGTTGAAGAAGATTCCCCCTGCCACCCCCAGAGAGAAAGAGGGGGAAAGAGCAGCCCAGGTAGAGGAACCAGGATGTGCAAAGGCATTCAGGCATGAAGTTGGTGTTTGCAGAGAACTGCATGGGGCAGATACGGAAGGGTTAAGGACATCAAGCTTTATCCTGTGTCCTAAAGGGAACAGGGCGACATGGTAAGTTTTGACAACGATGTCTGCTCTTGAGCAGATCTGTGCTTCTGAAAGCCCATCCAACAGTGATGACGAGGACAACGGAAAAAGTGCCTGTTGCCTGAGTGAGGCTGGCGGCCTCGCAAGCACAGTGGGCTGAAAAAGAGACTCTGATGGACACTCTAGGAGGTTCTGAAGGCATGTGTGGAGCAGGGGAGAGGGAGAAGAGGCTGCCAGGAGGGGATGCCTGGGGGTTGATGCCCTCAGCTGAGGAGGAGAAGTGCCCCTGAGGGAGGGACCTGGAGAAAGTGGCAACAAGGTTGGCTATGCGCCCCCCGCCCCGCAAGCTGCACCCAGAATGCCCTCGGCCCCAGCTCCAAACCTGTCTGGTCAAGGGAGGCTCTGCTCACAGATAGTTTTATTCCCCACTCTCCTTCCTGCATAGCAATTAGAATATTTCTCCCTACCTTTACCTTGTGAGTGATTACTTGCTCCCTGTCCTCCTTGCCTGTCCTAACACAGCATCTCTTCCTTCCCAAACATCCTCTCTCCCCGTCCTCTTGCCTGCTCCCATCCACACATGACATTGTTTTAGAAGTAGCCATGTAGGGACTTCCCTTGTAGTCCAGTGGTTAAGACTCTACACTTCCATTGTGTGTGTGTGGGGGGGACAGGTTCGATCCCTGGTTGGGGAACTAAGATCCAAATGCTGCATGATGCAGTCAAAAAAAGAATTGAGGTAGTAGTATAGGGCAAAGGGCAACGAGTCAGAAGTAGGGGCAGTCTGCTCCAAGGCTGTCCTACTGGTCAGGTAACATTTAGAACTTGCTGGGCCTCTCTGCCTCAGCATCCTCATCTGTAAAATGGGACTAAGCAATGAATTCTAACCTTCTCTTATCTCACAGGATTATGGTGAGGATAAAAGGAGGTAAAGTGCTTGCAAACTACACCAACAAAAGTCAAGAAAAGGTGCTACCAAATGATCTGGATCAGCCGGCACTCTTGTCCACCAAACTGTGAATTCCTTGAGGGCAGCGCCCTAGTGTCTTTATCTTTGGGTCTAATTATTCCTGGCACAGAGTCAGTATTTGATAAATATATGCTGAATTGAGAACAAGGAGCGCTACCACCATAGACACACACACATACACCCCGAGGCATCCTTGCCTCTCTCTCACCATAAATGCAGGCAAACCCACAGCACCCCACTTTTGGAAGTACTGCTCTAGTCCTGGCTCATTCCAAAAACAGGCAGTTCCTGGAAGAAAACCAAGCGATTGTCACGCTGCCTGGATGCCTCCACCGGGGCACGTTGGCCCAAGTCTGAATTCCTCCCTTTCTCCAGGAAGCGGCGAGGAACTGAACCCCAGACTCACTCCCCGCCCCGGGAGCCCCAGCTGGATCTGCCCCTCCCCCTGTGTGCCAGGCGTGCGACGTGGGTTGTTGTGTCCCCCCCCCGCCCCCGCAGGAGCTCGGCCGCCTCTACTGCTGTTTTCATTGATGCCTTCAGCAGAGCTGGCATGTGCAACCGCCGAGAAGGGGGAGCGTTGGAGCTGCGGGGGAAGCAAATAAAAATAGCCCGGCGCGCGCACACGCGGCGCTCTGCCTGCTCCGGACGCCTTGAACCTTGGCCGAGGTGGGGAGCTCACCACAACGATCTCACTGCGGACGCTGGCCGGGGTCTGTGCCCGGACCCCGCGGGCGACAAGAAGAATGCGGGGGCCAGAGACCCGTGAAAACTTTTTTTTTTTTTTGGCGGTGGGCCGGGAAAAGCTGTTCCTTGCTGCCCGCGCTCCAGCCACATGGCTGCAGGGACTGCTACGTGCCCGCTGGGCCAACGGATTACAGAAGTGCGGCCTTGACTCGGAGCTATTTTTAGAAACCACTTCTGCGGGTGGGGCAGCGAGGAGGGCGAGGGGTTCAGTACAGGCGAGCTCTCTGCGTCTCGCGCTACACAGCATCCTAAATGCCCGCTCGCCGGTGGGGGACAGGGAGGGGCCCCGCGCGCGCTGGCTTCGCCCTAACTCAAGGAGACACAGTAGCTCCTGGACGCCCCACTGCTCTCCCCCGGAACATTTTTTGCTTCGAAATCGACAGGATGCGTGCTGCTTCTAGTTTCTCGGAGAACGAGGGTTTATAAAAGCTTTGCTGCCTCCGCGGTGGGGTAGAGGTTTAGCTGCAGTTCAGACCTGGAGGGAAGACAGTTGGGAAGGGTCTCTGCTGCTTTGGGCATCCTACGGACGGAGGGACAATCCCCGCGCGCCACACCTCCGTCCCCGCCCCACGCTGCATATGGGCAACCATCTGTGAAAGGCACGGCAGCCCCACCAGACACCCGGCTATTAATAGAGCCCGGGAGTTTGTTCTCTGTCTTTTTCCTGCCACCGAGTAAGGGATGATCTTCGCGCACACACACACACACACCCCACTCCGCCCCCGCCCCGTCGCACCGTTCCTCCAGGAAGGTAAGGGGGCTGCCCACGCGGATCCCCTGCCTGACTACAGGTGCCCGGAGCCTACGGGCTGAGCCGGGGGTCATGACAGCAGAGTCAGAGCGAGGACAGGAAACCCAGCCTGTGGTCGGTCTCGGGACGCTGGGCTCTTGGAGGCTCCGAGCCAACTCGAGAGTCGAGAAAGGGCAGCTGCCGGGCTGCCGGAGGCGGGGGGCCAGAGCGCAATTTGCGAAGCTGCCACGACCTCCTCCTCCAAGCTGCTGCGGCGCGGCGTGCAGCCCCCACCGCGCGCGCGGGCTCGGCTGCGGCAGGCGCGGGCGCTGTCCGCGGTCCTGAAGGTGGCGGCGGCCCGAGCTCCCTCCCCGGGTTAGCGCCCCCCGAGGTGGCTCATAGGTCCCGGGTTGCGGACCTCTCCCCCGCCCGGGTCTGGGCGCCAGGGTCTGTCGGCGGTGCCCCTGCCCCACCCCGGCGCGGCTCGGCACCCCCGAGGCCCAAAGCTCTCCGCGGTACCGCGGGGACCAAAAGCGCGAGCTTGAAGGGTGACGGCCCGGAGGGACGGTCCAGGCCCTGCAGGGAAACGACCTGGCCCCTGGGTCGCCCATCCCGGCTCGGCACGGTCCGCCACTCTGGAGCCCTAACGGAACCCAGAGGAGAGGGCAGGGGAGCGCGGCCGCCCAGGGCTTGGGACTCGGGGTTGGGGGGTGGGGGCGGGCGCGAGCGAGCAGCGGGTAGCAGGAGAGGGAGATGGGGTAAGAGCGACTCTTTTGCATTTTTCAAGAGGGAGGGGTCCAGAGACAGGCACCGTCTTTCCCCCACCCAGCACACACACACACCACGCACACACACACAGACGCGCAAGCGGCCGGCTGGAGCAAGCGGGATGGAGCTGAGAAAGTTTGGCACCGGGAGCGGCGCGGCGCGCGCGGGGGTCTGGGCGGCCGCGGGGTGGCCCGGCGGCCGCGGGGTGGCCGGGCCGGCCTCTGGCCTCCTTACCTCGGTGCTCTCGGCCGCGTTCTCCGCCATCTTCCTCCTTAGGAGCAAGCAGCGGGAGGAATGTTTCATGCCCATAAGAGCCAGCGAGGGTTTGGTGGCACAGTGATGGGAGAAAGAGAGAGCGGGTGTCGCTTTAAAAGAGAGAGAGAAAGAGAGAGAATGGGAGGGAAAAAAAAAAAAAAAGCCCAACCCAGCCCCTCTACCGGAGCGTCGGCCGGTACCATCAACGGCGGTAGGGTCTTCCCTGCCGAGTCCACTTTGTTTTATTCTCCTCGGAGTCCAGTCCCTCGCACAGATCCGAGCGGCTCAGGCGCCCGCGACCCCCTCCCCGCCCCTCTCCAGCCGCGCTGCGGGCCCGGCAGGCGAGAGGCAGCCCCCGAAGCCTCCGCGGCGGCGGCGGCGGCGCCTCGCCGGCTGCTCTGCTCGCAAAGTCCGGCCGGCCGAGGCAGCCGGCAACTCCTCTCAACTTCTGCCGATCGGCGGGCGAAGCCACACGCTCCCTGCGCGTCCCTCCCGGGGGCTGAGCCGGTGAGTGGGGGCGGGGAGGAGGCTGGGCCGGGCGGGCGGTGGCTGGGCGCAGACCGAGGGCTCCCGCGCCCCGGGGCCGCCCCCTCGCCCGGGCTCCGGGGGTCTCTGGACCGCCTCCGCTGCCCGTCGCCGTAGACAACTTGCAGGGGGTGGGGTGGAGGGGAGCGAGGGCTGCGCGGACGCGGCTGGGCCGCGCTCGAGGCTCGGAGAAGGCAGGCGCGCCGGAGCTGGGCGCTGGCAGGTCCTCAGCCCCGGTGTGCGTCCTCCCCGCCCCCCAGGACCGGTGCTGGGCAAGGCTGGGCCACGGTCACCTCGCCCCCATCCCACCCCCTCTCCTGCTCCGCTGCCAATTCCTGGATGCTTCCTTGGCGTTTGGGGTTTGGGGAGCAAAGGGGTGGCTGTCTGGATGAGGGAGGGTCCTTAACTCCTTCAACTCTAGGGCCAAGTGTGGCATCACCATCCTTTTTTTCTCCCACTCTGCCTCTCCTAGGGCTTGGGGTCCCCAGCCTCGCTGGGAAGGTGGGGCGAAGGTTCAGCCAGTAGTGGCTTGGAAAAGAGGGTGGGAGGAAGTCAAGTGGGTGACCTGCAGCCGACCTCCCCTTCCCCCAACCCCAGTCTTCCCTGGCAGTCCCCTGCCCACACATCTCTCTTCTCCCTCCTCACCCCTCCCCCAGCATCACCAGATTTTGAAGTCCCTTTTATGGGAGAGAAGGAGGATGTCACGTACCCATTAGGATTCTCTTGATCCTTTTTTAAGGGAGTTTGGGCGGTAGCAGGGGGTGTGAATTTTTATACAATGCATTCCTGTCTTCACTTTGAGAGCTTCTTTTTCTCTTAGTGGCCATCTGTCAGGCTGGTGGGAAACAGAGCCGGGCTGGGGGGGACGGGTGGGGGGCATTCTGTGTCTCCCATTCCAACAGGCCAACTTGGGGCTGACTCCTTCAAAGACAGCTGCACTTTTAAAGCTTTCACTTCACAAGTCAAGGGCAGGGATCCAAAAGGGGCTCCTTGGTCCTCCTGGTGCTCTGCACTTCACCCCCATGCTGGCCCAGGGAGAGCAGTCCTGCATGCATGCCCGGGTGTTTTTTTAGCATCACCTTTGACAGCTGGGAGGCGTGAGACTGATTGTCCTCAACTAACCCCAGCATCCATTGAAGAAATGGGCCAGAAACTAAAGAGGTTTCCATCACCTGGTCCTGGGGGGGAAAGAGGATGCCTTGCAGTAAGTGCAGGAGGGAGAGGATGGAGAGTGAGCAAGACGTTTGAGTTCCTGGTGATTTTGTGTGTGTGTGTGTGTGTGTGTGTGTGTGTGTGTGTGTGTACACTTAAGGAGTAAATTTAAACGAATGACCTTAACCTCCTTAACCCTATCCTTTCTCAGACCCTAGACCTGGGTGAGTGACCAGAGTCTTTGGTGACACCTGGTCATTCTCCTCCCCTTTCACATCCTGCCAATGTGCCAAAGATTGGTGGTGGGGGTGGGGTAAATGAGCTGAATTTTAAAGAATGACCTTTACCCTCTGGAGCCCTGTTTTCTCTAAGCATCTTTCTCAGAGACAGAAGATCTTGAGACATATGATCTTCCGCTGGGAGAGGCTCAGCACTTGTAAGGTAAACGGAAACCAGAAAGGATCTTCCCACTTCTTCAAGGACCCTGTGATCCTTCAGTTCACTGACGGAGATTCTGAGATGAGCTCCGCAGCCCCTGGCTTCCAGTCCAGCACTCTCCCCTCACCCCACCCCATGCCACCCCGCACTGCTGCAGCCTGTGCAGGGAATCCATTCTGTGACTAACCGGGGCGGGGAGAGAGGTTCAGACAAGCTCCCACCAAAATAGGCTACTGCCTGTGCGTGATTATGTTGCTATGAGAACCTCAGTGGGTGTGTTTCCTCCGTTCTCTGTTGAAATCTCTCGCTTGGCTTCTCCCCAGGCACAGCTCCCCTCAGAATGGGGAGCAGAGAGGCTGAGATGGGAGAGCTGTATTCTCATGGCAAAGAGTGTCCTAGTCCAACGTATCCAACCAACCCCGAGCCAGCCTGGGGTGGTGCCTCAGTTGCCGAGGCCACCAGGGTGGCTCCAGAGTGCCTGGAGGACCAGACTGGGTGGTCTGAAAGTGGATGCTCCTGTCCTCTGCGGAGCCACCTTGGAGCAGAGAGCAGTGGCCCCTTCTATGCTCCCACCTCATTAATCACTACTTTAAAAGACTAAGTTTGGGGGTAAATTGCTACACAGCAAAAGATGACCTGAACACATCTCCTTGAGTTGTGAAAAGTCATAATGTATTTAAAGTGCCCAATACACAGTAGGCATTTTGTGGTACCATTTCTCTCACCATCCCCACTGTTCACAAGGATTTTGGTATTTCTCCATATCTTTTGCACAAGTATGTCAGCATACTCCTTTGCAGGATTAATGTAGTCATTCCACCAAGCACTTACTGGGCAGCACTTTTATTCCAAGCTCATGAGTAGGCACTTGGCTTTAGCAATAGGCAAAGACACTGGAATGACCATTGAGGTGGTCTTAATCACCTTGGATGCACGTGCATGTGTTCAGTCGTTAAGTTGTATCTCACTTTTGGAACTCCAAAGACTCTGTCCTTGGAATTTCCCAGGCAAGAATACTGAATGGGTTGCCATTTCCTCTTCCAGGGGATCTTCTCAACCCAGGGATCAAACCCGCATCTCCTGCAGATTTTTTATCACTGAGACAACTGGGAAGCCCTTAATCACCTTGGATGTTTTGAAATATACAGAACTTTTGTAGAAGAGCTTTCTTTGCAAAGGACTCTGGTGGGAGGCAAGCAGGCCTATGACCAGGGGTATAGGGGAGCTCTCCAGGGTGTGAGTTAAATGTGTGGTCTGTACAGTAAATCCTACGTGGTAAAGAGATCCCTAAGACTAATTTTGCGGTTGTCATTTTTCTTACACCAGGTCTTCAATGCAACAAAATGGATTGAATAGTACAAGTAAAATGCTTAGAACATGCCTGGCTCATGGTAAGAACATGGACACTACACTCACATTTCCAAGACCCTGAGCTGGGGGGCTCTGAGTTTGACTCAATCAAGCCCTTATCACGTGCTGGAGACTCTCCCAGACCTCATGAAGTTCTTTCGACAACTCTCTGTGAAGTTGATATATTGCCGCTGTCTCCACACCAATAACAGATGACACAAAAACACAGAGAACTGCCCACGTGGTGGAGTGGGCTTGCAAATCCAGGATACCAGCATGATCTTCTGGAGGTCACCCGGGGTTCCAGGGACAGGGGAGTGGGTCCCAACCTTGCTGAGAATAATCCAGAGAGTTTTAGAAACACCATGCTCTGGTTGCACCCCCAGAAAGTAGGACTAAGTGAGGAAGAAACTAGTACCTGGATCTTTTTTTTTAAGTCCCCGGATGAGTCTAACGGGTAGTCATGTTTGAGGACAGTTGGTTATTTAGAGATGAAAAGACCCATTTTAGGAAAAATCCCTAAGTCCCAGAGAAGACCCATCCAAAGCTGTAAGAAGCCCCACATTATCAAAAGTCCATCCCTAACAGAGGTCCTTGAGAGAGTAAAGCTGTGCTGTGGGTTGGCTGAGTATGCAGAGGTTTTTGCAAGACCCTTGGGGAGGACTATGCTGTAATTGGGCAAGTTATCCTGCCTTACCCCTTCATAGATCACTGCCTTGTCATGGCAAAGGGGCTTGCATAACTCAATGAAGCTATGAGCCAGGCCATGCAGGGCCACCCCAGATAGATGGGTTGAGGTAGTTATATCTCCGGGAGATAGTGGGGGACAGGGAGGCCTGGCATGCTACAGTTCATAGGGTCATAAAGAGACAGACATGACTTAGCAACCGAACAACAACAATCCTTCTTTATGAGATGCCGCAGAAAAGCCAAATCGCCTGTCACTAGAAGGGTTCAGTTGGACTCATTACTTGGCATAGATGTAGTAGCAGAGCTGCAATCCCTGGAAGGCTGAGCAATGCCTCTGATGTTCCATCCATCCCATCATCGTCTCCTCCAAGCCCCACCCCCGTAGGATGAAGACTGTGTGTAGTAGATGTTCTTCAGAAGCAAGCCAACCCTTCCTCTGCTGCCTACCAAAACCCAGCACCTGGGCTCAGGGTGCAGTTCCTCTGGCCTGCACACATACTGTTTAGGGAAACCCAGATGCCAGCTTGTTCAAATGTGGTTGCTGCAATGAGGGGATGTATAAGATGTGTCACATGGCTCCCCCTCCCCCCGCCACTCCTCCTCCTCGGGGGAACTCACACGTGGCCAGGGCTCACATATGGCTGAGACACGCTGCAGTGAATCCATGGCGCCTCAAGAATCAGGCCACAGTCGTTATCCATCACCACCTCCCAGCAGCAAACCCAGCAGTGTTCTTAAGTGTCTTCTGGGAGGTGGGAGCCAAGCCAAGGCTGCAGCAGCCAGCTACCTGGCTGAGCCTTCACACAGCCCCTCACCTGGGGAGTTCTCCTGCACGAAAGCCTCCACAGTCTTAATTCTCCCCAATCCAAATTATTTCTTAAACTATGTTCCCCCAAACGACTTGAAGAGTGCCACCAATGCCTGCAAGGTAATTTGAGTTTCTTCCCTTTTTTATTTTCCCTTGCAATTAAAACCAGAATGTTATTTCTTCTTTGCTCTGATAATGTATGATTAAATCAATTCGTTGTGGTCTTGCGCTGGATATGATCCTGTTTGACTTGTCTATTTATTCTAACTATATTTGGGAGGCATTTTCTTGGTAGTTCTTTAGAGCTTACTCCTTGGTGTTTAAAGCCCCTAAGAAGCTAAACCCCAGGCTATTATTACCTACCTTTCCCCAAGGTGAAAAGTGAAAGTCACTCAGCCGTGTCTGATTCTTTGTGACCCCCATGGACTATACAGTCCAGGGAATTCTGCAGGCCAGAATACCAGAGTGGATAGCCTTTCCCTTCTCCAGGGGATCTTCCCAACCCCGGGATCAAAC